TTTTTTTTTTTTTTAATTTAGGAATGGGAATTGTACAATTTGATTTATTGGATCATCATCTAATTCATGCGAACAATTTTTATGCGCAAATGTTTGGTAACACGAATTACACTCAGGTATATATAACTCAAAAGTAAATAATTTTAATAAATGAAAAGGAGTAAAATTTCATATGCTCATGATTTATCATACATATTAGAAAGATTTTACCGTTCACTTCAGCTTCTTCCTAATTTTTGCTACAAATTTCAGATAGGCGTACAAACGGTGTGGTTGTCATCATTAACATACATCATGTTATTAACGTGCTTCATGATTGAAATATGATGATACCCATTCTTTTTAAGTCTCTGGAGAGTAATGAAGATGTATGTAAGCGTATATCGGACCAACACGTTATTTATATTCGTTGTAGATGATGCGTTCCAATAAAGGAATCTATCCAACAACAACGAAATCTACACGGGTGCAAGTGAAACCTACTGCAAATTCAGGTGTTGATGAGGACAGGGAGAGAGTGGAGGCTGCTATCTTTTTCTTACGTTGCCAGGTGCCACTGTCGTGTTCTTTCCGTTTACTTCACCTTCTGCTATTTATGGAACGAATTTGCTAACGCAATTGTTCTGCCGTGTTTCAAAGTAAAACTCCGAATCTTACATATACACCTACCAGGTTTCTCTTTGTCGGTAGACAGCTGATAGGAGATAAAGGAGAAACAGAGATTATTGTTTATGGAATGTGATGTAGTGTGGAATTGGAATGGTAGACGGTTGTACATTCTTTTAGCGTATAAAACATTACGATTAAGTGAGGACTGGTGGTAAATGGCTCGTAGTTATGGCGAATTCGATTTCGAATCGTTCCTAAGTGGGAAAGTTATGGTAGAGCGGGAAATGAATGGAATTCACATGTTGATGACTGGTAATAGTTCTCCCAAATGGAAGCCAAACATCGCTTCTTGAGTTACGCAATTGTTTACTTGCATAGAATGTGAATTCAGGAATGGATGACAAGGAAATATATCGAAGAGATACGCATACTGTACCTTAATCCATTGGATGAACTGTGTAACGGGATGAAACGCACAGTTGGTAACTTCCATTATACAAATTTATAGTTTCCAACTCAGATTCATAAACATCCGTTATATTCAAGTTTTCCTAAACCGCTCCCAGTAAGTAATAGATATGAGGAATGAGTAAGCGCATTTCCCATTTTATTTATTCGATTATATTCCCCTAACTTTTAAAAATTGTTTCTAGTTGCTAAAAAAAGTGTAACGTAGTACTTGATTTTCATAACTATTTGTAGTTAGGATTTGTCTGCGATCTATTCTAGAATCCGTAAGTAAATCGATGGAACCTTCAAGCGGTAGTTCAGCGCAAGGAGCGATTGCCACAAATAAAAGAAATGGTGCTGAGGAAAATCGCGTGGTTAGCATGGATAAAGTTGCCGAGAAATTGCAGCGTACATAAGTTCTGTTTGCTTGGGATAGGTTTATTCTTTAAACAATGTATTCACCCTAATACCTCGAATTACTTAAACTTCAAATTTTCCAAAAATGTGTACTGTTGAACACGATCTTAAAAATATACTATTAAACATTTGAAATAGGCTATTAAAATATACTGTTTTTTAATTTAAAATATACTGTTTAAAACATACTATTAAAGACATCATTCTCTCATATTGGTAAATATTTTTATTAAAATTTAAATAAGCTTGTGTGCTACACATCTATGATTTAACAGTTATTGACTCAGAAATGATTTATGATCTGTGATTTCATTTTTTTCTTCATAATCACTTAAAGAATTTATAAGAGTTGAATTTTGAGAAGCATTAAAAGCACTGCAACGAGATGATGGGGAAATAATACAAGGTTATCGGTCAGTGACTCGTGAAAAAACGGTCTCATTAGCTGACTGTTGCGCGTTGTATCGGTTGAAGACAATTCTGAAGGCAATGCAGAAACTATTGGATATACAAACAAGCTTGGATAAGTTTGTTCCTTTTTCGAATCCTTTTTTCCTCATAAAAGTGAACAAGTGATTGCTTCAAAAGTAAACGACTATGCGATGTACGCAAATGGACTGTTTTTGTGTAGTAAATACTTTTTCATGCTGCTGAAATGCATTTTTGACTGAAACTTTATTGTATTTCCATTGCAAATGCTAAATTTAAAAAATTAAGGTAACCGGTCGACTGCAAATAACTATAGTTGCACTTTATAGATGGTTCGAAAATAATAAGGATGATATGACTACACATAAGGGATTATTGAAAAATTTATTAACTAATGCTCTCACAAATTTTGAAATGGCATATATAATCACCGAATTATTTGATATTCAACAAGTGCCGCTAAAAGAAATTCAGAAAACTAAAGTAAGTCAAATGTTATTATTGGACATTTGCATCACCTTGAAAATTCAGGTTCTCTCCAATTTAATCATCGGGAATCACGGATTTCAGCTCTGCTTCAAAATGAGCTTTATCAGCAGATTTACTCTGTTTGGATTCTTTTGTATTCATTGCCTGAAAAAATGTAAATATAGCAAATGTAATTCTCTTATTTTATGTTTTGCAGCCGAAATATTGCAAATATATTCGATCAGACATTGGTACAAGGGACATTGCGACCATCAACAAACCACTAAACAAAGGAGTTACCACGAAAGACTACATAAAAAAACTTGAGGGGCAGATCAGTCATTTTAGGTCAACCTCTCATAATTTTTCTCTTTGGCAGCAAACGATGGGAATCAAATTCAAATATTTAAAGTCGAACCAGTGTCGAAATTTAAGTATTTGAGAAAACAAGTGTCTATCATGCATAGCTAATTAGGCCTCTCCAAAATAAACAAGTATTGTTCGCTTTAGTGCAAGGAAAGCTGTTTAACAGTGAATCGCCGCATCAATTTTCAAAAGTGCTTACTTTTTTTTTTGGTTTATCACACTCATTTTTAATTTCATTTATAGGACAGTAGTGTATGAAATAGCAAAGAATCTCGAGATTATTATTGAAACAATTATTGCGAATGTTCGAGACCATCATTTGGAAGTGAACATAAAACAGGTAATGATGTTAATGATACGAGAACTCTCGCAATAAAATAGATTGAGTAGTGAAAAAACCCAAAATAGGAGGAAAAAAACAAGTTCGCAAATAAATAAACGATTGTTCTTTTTAGATAGCAATAATTATCGATAATTTGCCGCCCAGGTATCGCTTTCCAGAAACGATTCATCTTTCGCCTTTCGCAAAAAAATTATTGGTAAATGCACCTCCGAGTCCGGATAATGGAGGAGATGTATTTGGCAGTTCTGTTAGTAATTTCTGCGAACAATTTTCAGTTCTGATAGATCAACAAATCTCAATCAGTAATTGACTCGTCCTTGTTTGTTGAATTTAGTGATAATTCTTAATCCAGAAATAATTTTTTACAGTTGGACAATTTGCTCAGTGGTAGCAGTAATTCGAAACTATCAACTCAGCCATCACAAACATCGAAATCACACTCTTCGAAGTAGATAGTTGAAGATTCACTCTTATCCATTTTGTTCCAGAATATCACGTTTTTATACCATTTTGCAAGAGCGTTATAAATTAAAGCAGGCCTTCCTTAGCAATAATCACTTCACATTATCATTTGAAAAAGAGTTTCGAAAAGCTTTTTTTGTGAGAAATAGTTTTAAGAAATTCCCAGTTTTACTCCGTCTCTGCTTAATTCGGTGATGAGCAAGTAACCTTTTACTTTATCCCAATTCTGTTTAGTTATCAATAAAATGAATTTTTGGGAGGGATGATCTTTTTCATCTTTGTTATTTGCAGCCAGATATGAAGCGTGAAAAAATGAAGACAATAATACTGGCCGAATGAAAACCGAATGGGAAAAACTATTTTGTGATACTACTTGTTTCATTTGTGAGGGAATGAAAAGGTTATTTTGAAGGACGTGAGAAAACTACATGACACAGAAGAGTGGAAATTCAAAGCTGAAAGTTGGAATGAGTAGAACACACTACCAAGTAGCACTATCATTACCTTCATTAATCATCATCACTCAAAGTTACAATAGTCTTGAAGGCGAATAATGCCGCGTAATAGTAAAGTTCGAAAGGCGCTAAGACATAGTGAGATTATCACAATCCAAGAAATGCCTTTCTATAAAACTACATAGGAAATATACATAGGAGATATATTGCAAATTCACAAAGTTTCCTTCAAAATTTTTCTCGCCGAAACTCTCCTTTATTCCTCGAAACAGCTAGAATGACATGAAGAAAGGAGGTTAAAGAATAATAACATAGATAGAGTAATACATCTAATCGATAAAGTGACATCCGTACCTACGAATCTATCACGCATGAAATCCTCACAATTTTCACGCACACAAGGTTAAGCAACTCTCAAAGAGTGAATACGTGTGAGTTTATAATTTTCATAGTGACCTAGGCAGGCTGTGCAGCTGCCTTGTTATGATCTCTACTACATTGTAATTGCAGTGCTTAAACACGAGTGGTAGTATGACATTAGTTTTTTTTTTNTTTT